TCAGAATCAGCTTTTAGTACTAGTGGAAGAGTTATTAGCCCACATCGAAGCAAGCTTAGACCAAATACGATACAAGCACTGATGTGTCTTCAAGATTGGTTGAAGAAAGATCTAAAAGGTATTAAATTAAGGCAATATTTCTTTTATTTTCTTATTTTTGAATTTATATTCTAAACTTTTATTATGTTTGAAATTCAGGTTCTGACAATAATGGGAATTTCTTCAATTTATTTGAGGAGTTGGAGGAGAATGATAATGAGGATAATGAGTCTGAGGTAAATTTTAAACAATAATGTTTTTTTATATAAATTATTATATAAAAATTATTATATAAAGAAATTTTTCTAAAATTTTGTTAATTTGGGTTATTTGTTTTTATTTCAGGAGGTTATTTCTTCAACTTGAAATTATTGATCAAGCCTAAGTGTCTAACTCAAGTTGCAGCTGTAGAGTATGTTCTAATCATCCTGTGATAACAAGCTTTAATTTTGAATTTAATGTGGACCCGTGTTTGTTGGAAGGTTTGGGATTTGGAGGAGGCAAAAAGTTTGCTTTTCTGATTCTGTAACTATGTATATATATATATATTTGCATATTCCTATTAATTTTACATGTTGCTTTTAAACTATATTTAATTGTTATATATATGCATATTCCTGTTAATTTTACCTGTTGCTTTTAAACTATAATTAATTGTTATTGTTATTTATGTTATGCCATCACTTCTCTACATTGATTTTCTTTTAATCTGATTCTTGTCTAGTTGTTCGTACTCTGATTGGTCATAGATCCAATTGTATATCTGTGGATTTCCACCCATTTGGAGAGTTCTTTGCATCTGGTTCTCTTGACACAAATCTCAACATATGGGATATCAGAAAAAAAGGGTGTATCCACACTTACAAGGGCCATACTCGAGGTGTCAATGCAATTAGATTTACTCCAGATGGTCGATGGGTTGTATCTGGTGGAGAGGACAACATTGTAAAGGTCAGCATTGTTTTCCTATGGTTTATGGTGTTTGTGGTGTTTGCCTGTCTGTTTTAGAGAAGTCTATTTCCCCTTTATTTTATTTCCCTTTTTTCCTCAGCAAGTTGGCATAGGATTGTGTGTAGGATGAACTGGTGTGGTGGTTAAGTCTTTCAATTTTGTTATTCGCAATCTGCTGGTCATGGCCAAGCTTCTCACTAGGGAGTTGGGATGTGAATTTGAGACCAATTCAACCATAGAGTGGAGCTATGGGTTTGTCTATGTAAAAGTTAAGGTCTTTAATGTGATGATCCATTGTTACGGGTTTGTCTATGTAAAAGTTAAGGTCTTCAATGTGATGATCCATTGTTACGGGTTTGTCTATGTAAAAGTTAAGGTCTTCAATGTGATGATCCATTGTTACAAACCACGTTGTGTTTGATTTCCTATGTCAGCCACCCATTTCCCTATCATCTATAAACTTGTTTGGCTTATTGTTACGTGATTGGTAAGAGGTGCATGCATGCAGGTCTATTTAACTAGAAGTAATACAAAAAAGGGGTTTTATGGAACCTGAAAGATAAAGCAGTGAAATAGGTGATAGTTTTATTTGGCGCCTTGGCGGGGACTCCAAATACCCGCGGGGACCTATTATTCCCCGCGGGGATGGGGACGGAGGCAATTTTTGACCCTCCGCCAAAAATCCCCGCGGGGATCCCCGTACCCGCCATTGACGGGGATGGGGATGGGGAGGGGGTCCCCGCCCCCGTGGGGACCCGTTGCCATCCTTA